AATATATTTATATATAATAATAAAGAGGAAAACTGCTGGCAACTACACAACTGAACAAGATCAAAATTTATAATCACGAAACTCACAGGTGTGACTTAGAGCAAGCCCCCTCCTGTGTGAACGGTATTGCCAAAGTATATGACAACTTTAAAAGTAATATATATATATATAAAGGTATACATAAAGAAAAATCAAATAATTTATACTGGATAAATTAATGTGAGTTTTCCTTGAATAGGTCTACGTAACACACACCTGACTCTTAGCTGACCTTACTCAGCACATGTCTCTCAACTGACCTTACTGTGCATATCTGTCTCTAGTGCACTTCTGTGTAAATCCGTATCTCGTTTGACTTTGCTGTGCACATCTGTTTCTAAAATAATCTTCCTATGCACACGTGACTATATTTCTTACAATGTGAGTCAAGCCCATTTTTTTCACAATTTTGTTGCAAAACCTAGTATTAAATATATTCTCTCTTTATATATATTCTTCACTCTCTCTCTCTTTTCTTCTCTTTCTCTCTCTCTCTTCTTCTCTCACTCTTCCTCACTCTCTTCTTCATTCTCTTCTCTTCTCTCTCTCTCTTCTTCTTCACTCTTCTCTCTCTCTCTCTCTCTCTCTCTCTCTCTCTCTCTCTCTCTCTCTCTCTCTCTCTCTCTCTCTCTCTCTCTCTCTCTCTCTCTCCCTCTCTCTCTCTCTCTCTCTCTCTCTCTCCTCTCTCACTGTCTCTCGCTCTCTGTCCGTCTTTGTCTTTCTAAATGTCACAAAGACAATTATACTTAATAATTTCAACAATTAATAATTAGATTTGACGTTTTAAAAACCTTTGCTCCAAAACGTTATGTTATAACAATTAAAAAACGTGGTAGTAAAACATTATAACCTCACGTTTTATACTTGTTCTTACGAATTCTCAAAACACGTGTATAAAACGTAACTTAAAATGTGATTAAAACAGTGAAAAGTCGTCGTTAAAACGTTTAGAAACGCGAAAATATTTTATGGGTAGAATTATTTTTTCATGCATAGAAGGTAATCTTAGTTCCTTTCTCATGTTAACAATTCTGACAGTTCTGTAACAACCCAGGATGATGCGCATGGCATCATTTTGTACATGAAAACAAAACAAAAAATTATGTCAAAAGAATATTCACTCTGTCTTGTGAAATGAACATAAAAATTACTTGCTAAGCTTGCCGCTGGAGATGTGAATACCTCAGCTTGTTGAATAACTCATGAACAATACATTTTCTGAGTGATGTTGCAAGGTAAGCAGGCTAGCAACTTGACAGAACTTTTTGTCATCTTGACTCAAGTTGTCAAATCAGGCTCCAGCTTGCAGGTAAGCCTTTTGGTGCTTCACGTTTAGCGTCATATATATGCGTCTGAGCTGGGGTCTCGGAGAGTTATTATTATTAACATCTTTATTGAGAAAAATTAACTAAAATTTTGTCTAATTAGAGTAATTCAATTAGGTTTAATTAGAGTGAGGATTATGCTCTTATTCCCTGTCACACAGGACAGAGGATCATTCACAAGACAGTAGGTCTAAACTATAGGCCGAAGCACATGCATATGTCATGGTTACAATCAACTACATTAGACAGTACATATGTTTCATTATACGGAAAGGCAGGAATGGGTTCATAAGAGATGCAGCCTAAAAAGAAAATAAATTAAATTTTTCTTCAATCTTTAAAATGGACAAGCAAATGTAGGATAAATGGTTAGGATGTCGTCCAGTATACTAGATTCAAATAAATAGTTACACAGTTGGTGGTACAATAGGCCAGGAGGTCTAAAATCTTTTAGAGTCTCACATTCAACAATATAGTGTTACATTGAAAGCCTTAAAGATTTGTCACAGAGTTTATAATCTGAATATTCTGGTAGTGGCTCAGCCTCACTAACCGGCCAGATGTGCCTATAGCCAAGGCGAATTCGCGCAATGATTACATCACATTGCTTGGTCCGGTTACTGTGCTGACCATACAAATACCTATTATCACAAAAGTTGTATTATTACAAACTCAGTGGCTAGAAAGATACCCAATAGTTCAGTCTGTGTCGTGGTTGCCCAGCCGTTCAATCTCTGTGTACTAGACACGATAATTTCGTTCCCTGTATATACTATACATGCACAACCTGTTCTACCAGTGCCCAATTGCACAGAACCATTAGTAAAGGCATAGGATTCAGTTGGTTTGAGAGTTTGAAGATGACTGTCAATAGCTTCTAGTGTTATGCATTTCATAGTTTCAGTGTTATAGATTTGTGTTACGCTGATGGGTGCACAATGTACAGAGACTTGCACATCTTTCCAAGAAGGAATATAGTGAACAGTTTTACCAGGATTGAGAAAGACATTAAGTCTCATAAGAATATGGACACAGCAACTGAGTAACGCATCTGTTGATTGACAGTCGAGAGCCGGGACCAAAGAGTCAAAGCTCAACTCCCGCAAGCACAACTAGATAAGTGATTACACACTGTAAGGAGCTTTTTGCGGTGGATTGAGTGAACAATCAGAATTATTTAGAATAGCTCTCAATTAAATTTGAATAGCGCTAGTGGGACCATTATTTTTAAATTTTGGCGCAAAACATAGTATTAAGTACAACTATTCTTTCATGAATAATAGGAAATCTAAGTTCCTTTCTCATGTTAACAATTCTGACAGTTCTGTGACAACCCAGGATGATGCGCATGGCATCATTCTGTACTACATCTAGGCCTTGTAACTGTTTAGGAGAAAAAATAAGAAGATTCAAGGCATAATAATCAACAACAGATCGTATAAAGGCAATAAAATCTACAAGTATATTATAAGTTAATGTCAAATCTATTGCCCACAAGCGTTTTGAGAGATTTAAGACGTTCAATGAGTAGAATCCTCACCTTCTTATCTTGAGATTATTTTGAGATAAATTCGGGGCTTAGCGTCCCCGCGGCCCGGTCCTCGACCAGGGCCCCTTTTTGTTACACATCTCCAGGAAGCAGTCCGTAGCAGCTGTCTAACTCCCAGGAACCTATTTACTGCTAGGAGAACAGGACATCAGGGTGAAAGAAACTGCCCATTTGTTTCTGCCTTCTCCAGGTATCGAACCCGGAACTTCAGAACTACGAATCCTAAGGGGTTTTTCAACCCAGCTGTCAGGCCCCAAATGATTCCCAGGCCCTTGGGTAGTGATTCTCAACCGTTCCATTCAAATTTACTATTTTCCAACACCGCCATAACCTGTGGACCACCTGTCCCTACAACCACGTTCATAC